TATTTATTTATTATTTATTTATTTATTAAATTCTCACTTGACAAGGCGGTTATTCTTTGTAAAGCAAAATCTGCTTCCTTTATACCTTCTGTAAAATTGATTTTTTTGGCAAATGAAAGTGCCTTTTCATAATATTCAGTTGCTTTAGTTATATCACCTGACAACTATACAATAATAACAATAATAATATATTAGTAATATGAATATAAATATGAATATAAATACAATATTCATAATATAAATACCTCCAAAATCATTCCCAAATTAAATAATAAAACATCGCAAGTTTCATCACATTCCCTTGTCCCTTTTTTATTTTGTTGGAAATTTTCTGTCAATTTTAATCCTCGTTCAGCCCATCCTTGTGCCTCCTTCAGTTCACCCATGCCTGTAAACACCTTGGATATGTTATTCATTAAAACAGCTGAATGACACGACGATTCCGGTGGGTGTATCAACGATAATGATCGAAGATAAAGTGGGAGTGCATATCTACATAAAAAACGTGTGATTAATAAATGAAATGAATGAATGGAATGAACGTGCAATCATGCACATACATATCATTATTATTAATTTACTTACGAATAGTTACGTCTTGAAGAATAAAATGAAGCCAATGCTTCAAGTGATGCACCTAAATCTGTAGATGTCATCCATGATGGCAATGGATCTACATCAAGTTTTTTTTTAAATAAACCCCCACTACCAACATTAGATGAAGTAGCAGTGTTATTGCTACCATTGACATTACTATTATTCATTCCAATACTCCCACTCCCAACACCCTCGCCATTACTACCGCCACCATTATTTAAGTTATGATCAAATTGATTGGCTGCTTGTAGTAATTGTTCAACAGACCATACATAATAATGTTCAGCTTTATCATCTTGTTTCAACGTTTCGTGTAAATCACCGAGTTTTTGTGCTAAAGCAATCAATCTAATTCTATCATCATCCTTTAATTTCTCATTTCCACCAATATTGTTATTATTATTGCTATCGGTATCCATCATAGTCGTCGTCGCTATTGAATCATAAGCCATCGTGTAAACATCAACTGCATCACGCATTCTTCCAATTTCTTCATATAATCCAGCCAACAGAATCATAATTCCAGTAACTTCCGGCGACGAATTATCCAAACTTTCATCATTATATGCCTGATTCAAAGCAGTCTGGTAGTAGTTGACTGCTTTGTTTGGATCATTCTGGTAGTTCTGGTAATACAAACCTTTCTTTAGGTTGTTTCTGATTTCTGGTGGATATTTGTGAACATTAGAAGTGAAGTATTGATAAAAGCCAAGACCCGTTAATGCTGTTGCTGCAATAATCAATGCTATAGGAAGTAAAGGTATTGCTATAATAGTTTTAGTATTGATGTTATTATCATTGGTGTTGTTGTTGTTTGAAGAAGTGGAAGAAGTAGCAGCAGTGGAAGATTTTTGTGTAAAGAAATCTATATTTTTCAGTGATCTATTATTATTAACTTTATCAGCAGTGTTCTTGTTTTCACCATTAATAGTTGACTCACACAAACTCAGATACAAAATGACAGACAGAGGAATTGTATTCCGCACATGAAGTATATTTTGTTTGTTAACATGAATATTTATTAGGAAACTATACGAATATTATTTAATACTTGCGTTTTATAGAAATCGGATATAATTTATCCGTTACACTACAATTCACAAGAAGTGATTTAATGAGTCAAAAATGTTTAAAGACGATTGTGGAAATTATCGTTGGGAAGGAGGAAACAAAGAATTAGCATTTATAAATGATTTACTAAAAATAAAATTTATCTTGACATTATTTATAAATACGTGGAAGAAATTCATTTTCGAAGGAATTAAAAAAAAATACATAAAGAATTAAATACATACATACATACATACATACATTTTAAACTTTTTTTAAAAAAAAATCAAATAGTATCGAAAAAATGCATACTGTAATCATTATTGGGGCTGGAATAGGCGGGTTATTGTTTGCTCAAGGACTTTTAAAAAATCACAGTGAAAATAAAATGAACTTTAATGTTAAAATATTCGAGAGGGATGCAGGACCGGAAGGTTGATATCAAAATAATTAATAATTAAATATAATATAATTAAATAATAATAATAATAATAATAATAATAATAATAATAATAATAATAATAATAATAATAATAATAATAATAATAATTGTATTTTGTAGCTCGTTTGCAAGGATATCGTGTTTCATCAAAACCATTTGGTGTAAAATCACTTATAAATTGTCTTCCAACAGAATTATCCGATCGGTTAAATGAAATCCTTCCTGACCCGGTTACAGGTGAAGATAACGATCTCTCGTTCATGGATGAATTCGGAGAATTGTTGACTTCATTTCCTTCTAAAAAATTTAATAATGTGCGTGAATTTTCCGAGATAAATCATGACCACACGGTGTTGATAACTTTTAGGGATAAAATAAGAGAATTTTTGTTGTAAGATTTAGGTGTACAATGGAATAAAAAATTTGTTAGATATGAGATAGACGAAAATGGTGTTTGGGCTTATTTTGATGACGGTACAAAAGAGTTCGGTGATATTTTGGTTGGATCTGATGGTGTTAATTCACTTGGTAAATTAATTAAAATATTTTTTTTTTAAAAAAATACTTCTTGTTTCAAATTAATCATTAATTTACTGTTTTAAAAAATAGTTCATAAACAGAAATTACCAGACTTGGAGGTAAAAAATTTGGGAGTATCATGTGTAGTATTTGACATTGCACCAAGTAAAAATCTTGTCGAAAGATTTTCAAAAAGTTCTTATAGAGATAGCGTATTTAAAATATCATTGGGAGATTGTGGAGATAATTTAGCTGTAGTATTTAGACTCATCCCAGTTGAAACAAAAGATTCACAAGATGATGATATTCACTACAGATTTACATTCTCGTATACTTATCCATCATCATTTGATGATTACGATAGTGATGATTATGCTAGTTTTAACAAAGAAAATAATCAACCCGGAAAAGTAATCAGTTGGGTAAAAAAAATGATTAACGAGAAATGAGAAAATTCGGAATTTTGTGATGTCATGAAAGAAATGTTAGATATAATTCCGGAAGATCTACCATCTAAAAGTGGATCTGTAGGTAAAAATCATCCATTTGAAAATTATCATCCAAATAAGTTACATTAATAGGTGATGCTATACATGCAATGAATCCTGTTCTCGGCTTGGGCATGAATCATGCAATGAGAGACGCAGATAAATTGTCACAATCTTTATTAGATTGGGATGAAAAGGGTTGGGAGGAATGTATAAAAAATTATGAGGATGAAATGATCAATCGATGTTCACCCGATGTGTTGAATTCGAGAAAGGTTTGTCAATGATTACATGTTGCTTGTCGTAATAAATTTGACGTTATATTTAGAAATTGGTCAATGAAATTTATTGGATTTTGTTTAAATATTTATATGAAAATATTTGGTTAAATATTTAAATATTATTATTATATATATCCTGTATTTAAAGTTAAATTTCATATGTATTATTATTTATTCCATTATTATTTAAATTTAGTTATCTGCGCAGTTATCAAAACGCGTGATATCTTTATTTGTAAATTCTAGAGAAGTATTAGATGAGTTGTATATCAATATTGGAAATAGGCTACTTTCTAACATAATTAACAATAAAAAGTCATATTTATTAGATTGTATTCGTATCGGCGGTTTCTAACACCACTAGTAATATAATTTACTTTAAAAGAAAAGATTAACATCACT